TGAAATAACTGCATTTTAAGGAAATAAAACCTAACCTTTCTTGAGATGTCCTGCTAAATGAGTCAAAAAACCCTTAATTCCAGACCTGTGAAATTAATCAAAATAATCCAACTGCAACTATGCTACTCCTTATCACAGGGAATCTAATAATGCAGTACATGCTGGATCTTTCATATAAAAGACATTCCTCTCTCACCTCGCAACAGCCATTTCTTGGGGGGCTGTAGCCCACTCTTCTGGGACATAGAAGACCCTTTCCTTTGGGGAAAGGCTGGGTCCAGTGTTCTCAGCACAAGCTGCTCTTCCAGCTGCCTGCCTTGTGACAGAGCTACCTGCTAGCCAGAAGCATCCTGGTGTCTACTGGGCTGCTGCAGATTGAACAGACTGTGAATCCAGCCAGAGGATAAGAGGTTGTTCTAATTGGCTAAATCTGCTATGTAATAAGCATACGGCCATGAGTTTGCAGCCAAAACACTAATATAAAAAAAAAAGTACAGTTTAAAACAAAACAGGGATGACGTTTTTATTCATCAATTAGAGTTTTGCCACAAGGGTTTCTAACCTAACATTTTACAATGCCTCCACAATCCTTTACCTTTGCTGAAGTAGAATTTTCATGGTACACTCCTTGTACCAAGTCCATGAGAGCACTTGCTATAAGTTCCACAACCTAAAAAACAAGAAAAAAGACAAAAAGAAGCAATTTAAAAATGTTCCCCATTTTTACCTCAGAATGCTTAGAAGGTTTAAGTAGCAAGGTAGGATTTGTGGTCGTTAGGAAAAAACCCAAATTATGTGCAAAGATCCCAGCAAATAACATTGCCCACCTGGAATTAAAGCTACGATCCAATTTTTTTCAGTCATAATTCAAGCTCTCCCCTGCTCGCCAATCTTATAAGCATAGCACTGAACTAATATACATGAAAATCTAGTAATAACCATTTTGAACATAAGCTTAAATTTCAGATAAATAATGAAATCTTAATTTATTTTCTGCATGTTTATTTCTGTCAGGTGGATACTTTTTCAGTACTCCCATCCTGGGAGCCATTACAATGCTAAGTTTTCATACTTAATACAGAAAAAAAGGCAAAAGCAAGAGAACGGTTAACGTTTCAAATATGTTCATTTTGCTGTACTTAAAATGCACTGTGGATTTAGTTGGTATAGACCCTGGGTCAAATATACCATAAACACTGAAAATTTTTACAGAACTGCAATGTTGAAATTATATTTTTCAAACCCATATTCAAGGCTCAGACTAAAAAAAAAAAAAAAAGTCAAGTAAAATAAAAACTTTGAACTTGTTCCAGAATGTAAAACAAGCAGAAAACAATAAATGGTCTCTTTGGAACTGCTGTTAAAATTTAGAATTGTCTGCATAAAGCATCTCAGTTCAAGAAGAAAAAATAGTGGTATTTATGATAATGCTCAATGCATCATTTCAAACAAGAATTCCTCAAGGCAACCCCATCCGCTACTTACAAAGTCCTAATATCTTGTATATTTAACTTCCTATATAACACAGTCCTGTATCTGATTTCCACTCTGCTTCCTAAAATTTAGCTCCGTTCTGATTGAATTAAAGGATTTTGTTTCAGCTTTTATCATTCTTGTAATTGAAGACATTATTAAGCTAAGGGATATGGACTCAAACAAGATACTTCAACTTCAGGTACCCTGGGTTTAATAAACATTTTCTTAGAAGCAAATTACATTAACCTGTAGAAAGACTTGCTTTAAAATTTTAGCACATGAGCATTTTATCTCCCAATTTATATTTACATTCATACTGACTAATGCATACCAGGATGCTGGTATGAAAACTTTGCTGATTAAAAGGAAATTTTTTTTCTAACTTTGCAGATGGGTTAATTTGTAGGAACTATACAGTCTTTTTCTTTTTTAAAATCACATTGTCCTTTAGGTAACCAAATACTTAAGAAATATTGTAGCAATATGAGCTGCAGAGGAACTGGAAGGACAATGATCCTACAGTGTTACCAGATGTGTTGAGTTATTTAAGTGGGGAAGAGAGAAAAATGAATGGATTTTTTTTCCCCTGAAGGTATCAGATAAGCCCTATTCCCAAATCCAGGAGGATTGAGTATCGCCAATAGGTCTATGAAAGACTGTAACTAAATGCACAGTATTGGATTGGATTACAGTTTATACAAGCAACATCCCAAGATCCCCCTGATGGCTGGACACATAATACTGATCAATCACTCACTAAGAAATGTTATGGTTTTGAAACAGTTTGAGCTCCGATACCAGCACTGGTAACGTGAAGAGGGATTTACAAAGAGAAAGTCTGACGTTAGATGTCGAAATGATGGCATGAACTTTTAACAGTGGCTCTGGCTCTGGCTCCAGCTCTGGCTCTGGCTCACCACTGTTCCTTTACTTCCCTGACATTCCAGACCAGGCAGAAGCAACAAAAAACATTTTGTTCTCTGATCCTTTTCCTCTTAATTCGATTAGCAAATATAGGCAGATCTGTGCTAGTTTCTCAATGCCCTGTACTTACAAATGGTCACACTTACTGGAATAAAGTACACCTCTATAGCCAATGACAAGCATTAAACAAAAAGTTTTGGACTTTTTTGAGTTAACAAGTTGTGGAGGGGAAGAGATTATAAAAAGCAGGAATAGCCTAGAGGAGTTGAATGTGTCCCAGGCAAGGGTGACCTGCCCAGCACACACACAAATCCCTTTCTGTTGTTTGAAATATTTATTTTAAAAATTATATCAAAGAAAGATATATTTAAGTAATGCAAAAAATCACAACTATTTCTAGAAAGACCACAGGGTTACCAGACACTCACAGTTTAGTCAGATCTGATCTTTTGTTATTTTTTCTTTTTTGGGGGGAGAGGTTTTTGCTATCGGGCACGTGCGCTCACCAGACAGACAGAGACAGAGAGACAGAAAGTGAGAAATCACCCAGCAGGGGGGATAGCCATGCTGCAATCCCTTCTCCTCCATTCTCCTCTCAGGCTCTTGGGGCCGGCCGCACACGTGCCCGGCGTGAGTTTTAAGCCACCGGGTCCGGGACTTGAACCGTGGTCGACTACACAGGAGTCCAGTGACATAGCCATTACACTAACTGCTGGCCCCTGATCTTTTGTTTTTTAATTATTTGGCTTCTTACTCCAGATATTCACCTTTTTTTAAAAAAAAAATTTAACTTTTATTTATTCATTTGTTTATTTCAATTTGACCATAGAGAGACAGAGAGAGAGAGGAGAGAGAAGGTGAGAAAGCAAATCGCCAGATCCAAGACTTGAACCACAGTTGGCCATGTGGGAATCCAGCACCTTTAACCACCATGCCACCTGCCGGCCCCAACATTCACCTTTTGAAACTCCTGTTGTACTTAAATATAAGAAAGCACTTAACATTTTTTCTCTTCAAATCCTTGAGGAATGATTTAATCAATAACTCAAAGTGTTAGTGAGGATAACGGCAGCAGGAGGAGAATTCAGAGACTGAAAGCCAGCCCTGCTAAAGCTTAGGGCCCAAGCGAGACTTAGAGCTCTAGACAAGAGGTATGATGAAAAAGATTCAAGGACTTTTGTTCCTCAAGTCTCAGAGGCAAACTAACACTTTCTACTAGGAAAAGAAGATAGGTTAAAAGAGCCTCAATGTTTGCCCCTCCTTTCCAGCCCGAGAGATTAGAGAACTGCAGAGACAAATCAGAACACTAGGAGCCAGAGGACTCTAGATTTTAAGGCCTACAACTAATTTTTGTTGTGAGATCTGGGACAAATCAGTTCATTCTTCTGACCTTTAATTTTCTTCACCTATAAAATGGAGTTACAAAAGATCATTGCTTAAGGTCTCTTTCAGCTCCAAATTTTCGAGCTTTTAGAAATGCAATTCTCAGTATTTATAATTAGGCATAGAATTTTGAAAACTGCTTTTTCATAAACTTTGATGGAAAATGTTGGTCCTGCTGTTTGTTTTTTAATTACTTTTTAAAAGTTCACCTCATTTCTCTCCTCCATGAAAAAGAGACAGAAATAGAGAGAAAAAAAGACAGAGAGAGGCATCCCAACAGGGTCTCCAGATCCAGCCCCAGCCTTAGGCAGCCTGGATCACACAAACATGCACACCCAGAGTGTACAGGGAAGCCTCGGGATGTGAACATGGGACCTTTCCTTGGGGGTCCAGTATTGCAGAGTAGTATATTACCACTGTGCTGCCAGCTGGTTCTCATACTACAATTAAAAAATATATATTTTATTTATTTTATTTTATTTATCATTCCATTCTTTCTTTCTTTCTTTCTTTCTTTCTTTCTTTCTTTCTTTCTCTCTCTCTCTCTCTCTCTCTTTCTTTCTTTCTTTCTTTCTCTCTCTCTCTCTCTCTCTCTTTCTTTCTTTCTTTCTTTCTCTCTCTCTCTCTCTCTCTCTTTCTTTCTTTCTTTCTTTCTCTCTCTCTCTCTCTCTCTCTCTCTTTCTTTCTTATTTTAGAGGTTTTTGTTATAGGGTGCATGCACTCGCCAGAAAGACAGAGAGACAGAGAGCAGGAAAGTGAGAAATCCCCCGTCAGGGGGAACGGCCACACTGCAATCCCTTCTCCATTCTCCTCTCAGCATCTTGGGCATGCACGCACATGGGTCTGGCGTGAGTTTAAGCCACCGGGTCTGGAACACCAACTGTAGTCGACTACATGGGAGTCCATCGACATAGTCATTATTCCAACTGCTGGTCCCCATTATTTCATAATTTGCTATAGGACACATGCACTTACCAGAGGGAGAGAGAGAAAGTGAAAAAGCAAGTCACCAAATCTAGGATTCAAACCGTGGTTGGCCATGTGGGTGTCCAGTGCCTTAACCACCATACCACCTTCTGGCCTTGATGCTACTTTTAAAAAAAGTTTACTTATTTATTTATATATTTTTTTATTTATTATTATAATTTTTAAGTTTGTATAGGGCATGTGTGCTCACCAGAGAGAAAGCGAAAGAGTGGAAGTAAGTCACTAGGTCCAGGACCTGACCATGGTTGGTCATGTGGGAGTCCAGCGCCTTAACCACCACGCCATGTGCTGGTCCCAGTGCTACTATTTTTAATAGTTGTCTTCACATGGACCTTTCTCTCTGTCTGAACTTTACCAAGTTTGTGAAACACTATGTACCCAATTTCCCCTTGCTTACAATATGTCAAATAATTAAACGATTTCCATTTTTTAAACCATTATGACTGGTAGTCCAACCCACCAGCTGGCAAAGAAATCAGGTCAGTGAAAGGTAGCCTTTTGATACTGAGTAAAGGATTCTAAATTCTGATACTTGAAGGGCCCTCACACTTGGTAATAATTCATACCTATTGGATTTAGAATGACATTAGGCATAACTGCCAAATTGCATCAAAAAATAATGGCATTATTTGACCCTATCACTTCTACCTCTAATGAATAAATATGTAGAGCATTTGGAAGAGAATCTGGAACATAAGTCTTGGTGAGTGTTAACTTATTATTCCCCATACTTGTGTATTTTTACTTTAGAGTCAGTCAAATCTTGGGTAAACAAAAAAACATAGTATGGAAACCAAGATTACAGGGTTTTTGTAATTGTATGCCCAAATATTTTGGAAGAACATGGGTTCTGTGACCAGCAGATGGTGTAGCAGTTACATGGCTGAACTCCCACATGGC